GTTCCCATGGAGGAATAAAATTACCAACTTTTAAAATGTTTGCTCTTTTCCCTTGCTCAAGAGAGGAGGTTAATTTGATGGTGTAGCAGTAAAGGTACCTGAGGTTATCTGCCCTCTGGTGGACTCTATGGGTGGTGTCAATGACCTGAAATGATTTCTCTAGGTGTGTAGATTAAAACAAAAAACATTGGTAGTGCTTTTAATAAATCTGAAATTTAAAAAAAGATAACGTCCACAGGTAGATCTGCCCAAAATTGATGGGTTTCACGAAAAAGGCAATTTTAAAGCACTGCCTAAATCAAGCCAAAACAATAGGGCTGTTTGCTCCCTAAAATGTACTTTTCCATGATCACCAATCACTTATGAGCACTGAAATGGTTGCATTTAATTTGCACAAAAAAACCCCAACAAATTGCATAGCTATTCGTCCAACAAAATTGAATGTATATTTGTTTTATGCAAATTCACCACCTGTTGTGAGAATGGACCAAAAATGTAATGTTCTTGAGGCTATTTTCTCTTTTTGTTAATAGTATTTGGGCAGTAGTAAAAATTGTTCTTTATGAATGAATCTTGAGTGCATGCAGGGAAAAAACTGCATTATTACTAGTAGATGGAGCTGAGTATCATAGGGGCGGAAAAACAGCTTGGTAACGAGACACAATCTAATTCCAGAGAACACTGGAGGGAATTGGCAGATGTACCTTTCCCTGTAGTAGTGGTTACATTTCCTGATTCCCTCCAACATTCTCTAAAATTGCTACGTTGTATCTCTTACTAAGAATTTCCTATGATCTTTGGCTCCATCTAGTGGCTGACACTGTCCTTCGTTCTGGAGTGTGGCTACTTTTCTCACAATCTCACATTTCCTTTACTAATTTGTATCGAGATTGTAGTCCATCACAGGAGTGAGCTTGGAGCGGTGACTACAACACACACAAGGACCATGGGCAACAAAAGTAGTCACCCTCCAGAAGGTAGGACAGTGTCGGCACCAATTCAGAGATGATTTGAGAACCTACAGCTGAGTGATACACAGATAAGATACAGTTTTGTTAATAGTTAAGGTACTTGAATGCATTTTAAGGTTTATCCCCTGAGACTTGTCACTTTAAAGTAGTGGTGCACCAAAATGAAAATTTCGTAACCGAAATTTTAAAATGTCAGGCCGAAACCAAAATCTTATTTGAACTTTTTGTTTTTCAAATATTTTATTTTTATAGAACTTTTTTAAATCTTTAATTTTACTTTTTAGGGGCTTCGGGAAAATATTTGGTCTAAACCCCCCTTTTTTTTTTCTTTTTTTTTTTTTTTTTTAATGGAAAGTTTGAGGACAGAGTCCTCTTCATGCTTCCCCTGTTATAAATGAGCAGGAATCCTCTATACTGAGTGTTCCTGTTAATTTATAACATGAGGACAGAGTGTGTTTACTATAACTACAACTATGAATGTACCCGCCCTCCATCCTGACACGCTGTCGCAGGAGGCTGAGCAAGCGGTGCGGGAGGAGAGCTGAGCCTCCTGTGACAGCGCGGCCTGTCTCCGCCCACACAACTCTCTGCCGATCTGTCACAGGAGGCTGAGCAGTGCTGGCAGGAGAGGCACTGGCCACTCGCAGCGCTCTCCTCCCACAGCGCTCGGCCGCCTGGCAGTTTCTCTGCTCCCCGCTGGGACGCTAGGAGAGAAAGAACGGATGCACTGCTGTATCTGCCAGAATTTGGCACTTTCAGCATTATGCCGAAAGTGCCATTTTAGGCCGATATGTTTCGGCGGCCGATATATCGGTGCATCCCTACTTTAAAGTCAAAAGATTTTTAAGCTATTCCAAATGTTGATTTAAATAACTTGCAATGGATGCTGCTCTTCCTTCGAGTGCTGATATCCTCCTGTTTTTAGGGTGGCTCCTTTCCGTTGCAGGGTCCTATGCAGCCATCCTTAACCACTTTCCTTATTGACAAAACAGCAGGATAACTTACACCGGACTAATGTACGTACAGTCTCGCTGGATGGATAGTTTTCGGAATTATTTTGTTTTTTAGACTTCCCATTGTGGGTCTAATTTATTTTTGTGATGGTTGATCTAATTTAGCAAAGTGAGTCAGTTTTTGTTGCCCAACAGATGTTTCTTTTTAATACAAAGGAACAATCTGATGAAGGGAGCGGTAGTTTTGTCTCAGACCTCTGTTCCCTCAGAACCTGTTCAAGGATTGTCAGATGTCTGTACAGTAGCAGGTGGACACCTCCTATCAAAAGGAATTTAAAATGTTTTGTTCAAAAATGTATCATTTATGGAATGCACTACACTTCATTTGCCACTAGATGGCAGTTCAGACATGCACACCACTCTCTGCAGATGACAGTTGGACATTTTTAATTGTCTTAAAACATAATGGCAACAGATGCCTTACTATTCTGTATTGCTGTCACTGTTCAAGTAACCCCTGAGTACGATGCCGCAGTCCACATATCCCTTGCCAATGTTTGTGCCATCCAGCAAGTGGCAGCTTTGTTTGTCATTGACTTGCTTACTTTACTGCATAAGTGTCTCATCTGATTTTGAATTGATTTACCCAGTGCCCCTCATCTGTGTATCCTTTGGTACTTGCCTATAGAGTAAGTTCTAATGTCTTATTCCATGTCAGACCACTTGGTTATGTTGTGCATAGTTTAAAGCTTAAAGGACCACTGGTATATTGCTACATACATACATACATACATACATACATACATACATACATATTGCAGTGTGTATATGTATGATTGTATAGATTTGCAATTATAATAATGTGTGTGTGTGTGTCTTGAAAAACCCGCTCGTCTCTGACGAGACAACGGTGGAGCCTGATGAGCAGCTGGCCGGCCGTTGTAATTACACGGCCGGCCGGGAACTTTACATTCAAGCGATCGGGCGTCTCCAGAGGCGCTCGATCGCTTGTATTAGCAGCTGTCACTGCCATTGCCGGTCCCAAGATCCGCTGTGCCCGATGCGGCCGGGATGGCTCTGTGACAGGAGATCAAAGGGAGATCAGTATACGGTCACTAATCTTTCAGTCCCCGAATGCAGGAAGTGATGCATATTACATCACTTCCTGCATTCAGTGTCACTCTCCAGCTACAGAAGCTGATGATATTCCTCCAAAAGAAAGCTCTTTCCCCCAAAAAATTAACATAATTTGCAAGGCTATAGTCCGGTCATGCTGACTGGTGAAATTTTTGACTGACTGGTGAAACACCCTAAAGTGTGTGTCTTTACCCTTCTACTAAGAATATATGTTAAGACATACACCACAACAGTCAAAAGTTTGACTACTGTTTTGGACTACTCTCTGGCAATCATCGGTTTCCTTTTGAAGGTCACTAAACACATTTCTATGTTTCAATCTTTACCTAGCAATAACTCGTATGACAGAAAGGTAACTTTTCTGTTTTTAAGGTTTCTGTAAAATGTTAAAAAAAAATTTCTAGTGTAATTCTGATCGCCTTCTTCTAGGTCAAGGAGTTCAATGGCCGTCACTTTGTTATGGAGACCGCAATCACTGGAGACTTTGCACTAGTAAAGGCTTGGAAGGCAGATCGTGCTGGTAATATTGTGTTCAGGTAAGGTTCGTCAAAGCTTATCTCTGGGGAAAGGATTGAGTACATGTATTACCTGTTCCATGGTTTGTTACACCATTACTGACCTATCATGTGAATAGGTCCCCCTCCAAATGATCTAGCTGCATTTCCTTTGCAGGGGGGCCTAACACCTGTGCGTGCTGTATGTATTGCACAGTGACTCTTCACCCTTAACCTTCTGTTGCACTTTGGTGCCATTGGACGAATCTGTTCATTGCATGGCTATATGGTGCTGACAAAGGAGAAGGGAATCGCCCCGTCACCAACAACAACTGTATCTACTTTCCCCCGGAATGTACTTTCCGGGAGGCATTACATTGGGGCCACTTCAATTATCTGGACACGGCTGCAAGGACTGGGAGCTTTATTGATGCTATTGGATGTTTCATCAGTTTACTCTTCAATGCTCTGAGTTGTTTTTTTCAAGAAGATTTTTATTTTGTTATACAATACACTGCAAGATACGAGTACAAGAGGTGCATACATTTATGCGTGCTGACATGACTAATGTACGGAAGCCCCAGTTTCAACGACAGTCTTCGTATTTCCCAGGGGGCACTATACAGTGATTGTGTGTTTAACGGTTGCCTATAAACAATTAAGAAATAATAAACTAGAACAATCAATGAACATCGCATGTGGTGAATTTCAGGTGAAAGTGTTGGCGAATGTAAGGGGCCGTGTACTACCCGTACACCGCCAACGCCATGCCTTGGGGAAAGGAAAGGATCAGGAAGTGAGAGAAAAGGGAGGGAAGGGGGGGGGCTTATAGGGTTCAGCGTTACTCCGTAGGGGGGTAAGGGAGATGTGGGAGGGATTCAATTCTGCTTAGAGGGCAGTAACTTAGCATCAAACGATTTAGCCTGTAGATGCTATATCCAGGGGTCCCAGATCAATTCAAAAACGAGGGACTTTATCGTTCAGCCGTGCCGTGATTTGTTCATTGGCAAAGAACCAGTGAAGTCGGCATTCCAGTTCCGCAAAAGAACTGTGGCGGATTGCCATGACCTCGCCACTATCTGTTTAGCTGCTGTTAAACCATGAAGCAGGAACTTGTGTTGTTTAGGTGCCATTTCCTCAGGGGGCAGGTTAAGTAGAGCGATTCCTGGGTCAGGCGTCGGTGTGAGAGCCATGATCGTGGACATAAAGGCAAAGACCTTGGTCCAGAAGGATTGCACAGTGAGGCAGTGCCACCAAGTATGGATGTAGGAGCCCACTACCCGCATCCTTGGAAGCATTGACCAGAAGACCTATAGCGATGAAAAACCTCCTTGCTTTTTTTTAATTTTTTGGCCTTTGGGGCATCAAAGTGCATTTTAACTTTGATGCCTGTTTTAACTCTGCATGAAGTGGAGATCAAAACCCTTTAACACCCTTTCTGTTGCCCTTTCTGTACAGATCCATGTTGTGACTGCCAGTTGCTCACTGTAGATAATGTAGTTACCAGGGAAACGCGGCCTGGCTTAGCCTCTTGACGGATGCCGCTGGCACAAGTTGCTCCTCTCGGGTTCCATGCACACTCCCTCCATTGATTTGTTAATTTCTGTTATGACGTCTGAGTTGTCAGTGGCCTGCTGCAAAGACAAGTCTGCATTTATCAAGCGGCTTCAGCAGTAAATGTTTGGGTTTTTATTTTAGGAGTTGTTCAGTTTACGGCTCTTGTAGACGGGTGCTGTGGCTGCTGCAGTGTGCCTGGTGTGCCAAAGAGTATATACTGGGACTGCAGACTGGGGTATCACTAGCACTAAGTGGCCATTTTTATAAAATGGTGGTATCAGTCATACATGGTATCCTTAAACTTCCCCTGTATGAGACCATTGTGAGGGGAAGGGGGCCCTACATGCAGCTACTTGCTAAGTAAAACACTTGATCACTGTGTATTGATTGTCTGCTCTATAGAAATGAGCAGGGTGCAGGTCTACGTGACCGTGGGGGGCATCCCAGCTCCCATGTGAACCACACAACCTGGAAAAATGATCTGTCCACCAATGAGTGGTATGGTTTGGCCTGAATGCAGTCATACTAATGATCGGGGAAAAGTCTGTCTGGTTTTTAAAATTGTAAATGAATGGCAAATTAATATCTAGTTGGCAACACTGAGGTGCAAATTTGTCCGAGGATCCTGCCAAAACAAGGAAAGTGAGGCTCTGAAGTGAGGCTATGTTCACACCAAGTCTGGAGTGGATCTGCAAATGCAGTGCAGTGCATTTTTGCCATGTTCCAGTGCATTTTTAGCTTTGCAATGGGCTTTCAGGTAAGTTTCCGGACCAAAAAAAAGACTAGCAATATTTGTTTTGTCTGGACTATAATGGACTGCGCTGGTGAACAGAACCCAGAAATACCATGCATTTTTTTTTCTGGGATTGAATTGTTCTGGTCCGGACACGGTGTGAACAAGCCCCCCGTTTGCTGAATTTTGAAAATAACATGTGCAATAATCCTAGAATATTGATATCTAGAATCATTTGTGCAGTGAAGTACTTTTGATAGTTAAATTTGTGTAGAATTCCAAATAGTCAATGTCCTACAATTTTATTTTTTTATTTTTTTTAAAATCTTTATTTGCTTTCATGTATTTGTTTTTCCTCCCTCCTACGGATTTCCGTCAGATGATCATTTTCCACATTATTGACTTGCCATGCCTTGTTGTCCACCTCTATTTGGAGGCAGCCATCTTGGGTAGAGGCAGGACTTTGCTTCCTTATGTTAGAGCCTCCAGCAAAAAGAACTTTCTCCTCAACAAATGCATGAAGCCAGCTTCTGATGTGGACACTGCTGGTTTTAGCATTGGGTGTGGGTGGCGGCGTGTTTTTGTGCAAGGACAGTTGGATATCTCTGTGCAGATCGGGTAGATATTTGCCCAACTAAAGCTGCCCACACACCTTAAAATTTATTTTGTATTCTTTCAATGAAATTTATGTTTAAAAGAAGGATGAGTGACAAATATGTTTTAAAATGAATATGTTTAAAAACGAATGAGCGCGGGGTAAAAGGGATTTATTTTGAAACAGGATTTATTTTGAAATAATTTGTTTTGAAACAATTCGTTACATGCACTGTTATGGTCTTTGGACCTTTCAATTGTAGCCATTCTAATTGTTTTGTTTGGGAAGTGTATAGTGCGTTTGGATGTGCGTAGTGCGTTTTTGGTGTTTTTTATTTTTTGTTTTTAGAGGATGGTTTGTATCAAGATCTTCATTAAGTCCAGTTGGTACTAAGGTGTTTAGTTTGTATATCCAAAATGTCTCTCTATTGCATAAGAGTCGAAACCGCTCGGAAGGTGTTAGGTGAGTGGGTATGTGTTCTATAGCAAACACATGTAGGGCATGGATATTTTTATGGTGTTTGGCTGTGAAATGTCGTGGTACGCTGTGTTCTGTATCTCCTTTCTCTATAAAGCGTCTGTGTTCTCCAATGCGTTTGCGTAAAGGACGTGTGGTATATGTCGGACGAACCACACGTCCTTTACGCAAGAGCTCAGCCTCTTGACAACTTTCGGTGCATCCCTCATTACAGTAATTAAAGTGCATTAGTTATCAGTTGAGTAGGGAAGGTTTAGTGCTTTAGAGAGAACCTGTTGGCAGCCCATTGATTTTACAAAAAATCAAACAAAAAAAAGAAACCCTTCCTATAAGAGTATGCATTTATCTTATATAATGCTGCTGGGTGCTGCCATCTTGGATGTGATGTAGCCCCAGCAAACTCTGAGATGTTATTTAAAGTGACTCTATAGCAGGGTAGGCAGACATCAGCTGCATTGAAACTACAAATCCTATCATCTGCCTGTGGATTCATGCCTGTGGCTGTCTGAGCCTTGCAATGCCTAATGGAATTTGTAGCTGCTCCACAGCTGGAGGGCCACAGTTTTCCTACCCCTGCTGTAAAGTATTCCCCTTTGCTCCTCCCCATGCAGCTGCATAAAAGGGAGGAGCTGGGCTACCACAGAGTAATTGGACTCTCCTAGAAGAGTAGAGGGCTATGATGTTGCAGGAGGAAGTGGGCTGTGCTAGGGAAATGACTCCTCCTGGGGTAGTCTGATCTACTAGGAAGTTCAGGGGCACACTGCACTGAATAAATATATTTTTTTGAAGGAAATAAAACTGCTGGAAAAAAACAAAAATAAAATTCTTGATTTTATTTTACTTGCAATTTTCTCAGGTTGGTGACTGGGCCTCTTATGTCAGCACACCTTGTTTTACCTTCAGATGGTATTAAATGGAGATTTTTGTTTGGCTTGTTTGCGAACTTCTGATTTAATTTTTCCAAATGTCAGTTTCTTGTTTTGTGTTGAGCTTATCCTGTCATCCCTTTTTTTCTATTTCACAGGAAAACTGCCAGAAACTTCAACCAGCCGATGTGTAAAGCAGCCCAAGTCACAGTGGTGGAGGTAGGTGCTGCTTTTCATTTGCATTACCTGCCTGTGGGTTCAGTGATGCTTGGATTATTAGCTTGGCATGGCTTTGTTCTGCTCACTGTTTGACAGTTGGATTCCTTCAGAGAGCTTTATCTGACGGGAAAGTTTTGTTTGAATACATTGCGTAATCTCTTATAAATCTGAGCTTGGTGGTCTCGGAGAAGGATTACTTATTTTCAGTTCTCTGAAAACGCTTTGTTTTGTGAGATGCCCAACGGTCAAATGAGAAATATATATATATATATATAATCATCTCGCACACACATGCACTGAGTGGCCAGATTATTATGACCACCTGACGTTTGTAGGCTAATTGGCTATAATTTCGCGCAGAAGTTGCTAGAGGGCTTGTGTGTGTGTGTGTGTGTGTGTGTGTGTGTGTGTGTGTGTGTGTGTGTGTGTGTGTGTGTGTGTGTATATATAGATATCTATATGAGTTTCCCCTTTTGTGCCGTTTTAAGCCCAGACTGGCAGTTTGTCCACTTGGGTAGATGCTAGAAGGGCTTGTGTGCCTGGTAACATGTTTCTGCATAAGCTCTTGTGGGCTACTCAAGTCTCCTGTCCTGCTTTTAAGAAAAATATTTTAAACTAATAAAGCCTTTGATCCTACTTGTCCTTTTTTACTGATTCCAAAAAGGTGTCAGCTCAGCAGTATTGTCTTATGATAGGCATGTTTTTTATATACAAGTATGACCAGGGTTCTCCTCCCTTCTCCTCCTTCCCCCTGTTGTCTCGAGCTGCATCTCTTTGGGTCATATCGGGGAAGGTGACAGGCAGAGCGTCATGGGTGCTCTGCTATACAATGTTTGTATTGTGTCTGCCACCCCCTTTCTGCCCAGGGCATCCAAGGTTACGAAGGACCATACACCTCTCCCCACCTAGCTCTTAGCAACCTGGGAAGCTCTGGCCCGGCCCATCCATCTTCCAGTGACTGTTTGCAAGGAGCTGGGCAGGTTGACGGCCAGAGCGTCCCAGGTTGCTAAGAGCCTGGCGGGGACCTACAGGGGGTCGCTTCACTCTTGTCTGGCACTGTCTCCTCTACCCACCTCCTGCTGCTCTGATTGTGTGCACCACACCTCCTTTTGGTCTGTCAGTCCATGGTTTACCTGTACTTGGAGAATGTCCTTTCCTCACACCTGAAAGTGGTCATAATTCTAGGACAGTGACAATCTGTGTAGGCTGTTGCACAGTGATATACTTTTGGGGTTTCTACTATATTGGCAGTGTTAATCTCCGATGAGGGTTGGAATCATGGCTTTGCTACGTCGTACATGCTATGCATACATGCATGCTATGGCAGACCCACTTCTATGTATAGCTGCTCATGACAGAATCACCTGCCTGTTTGTCTTTCTTCCGTGATGCCGGTCTATAGTTACTGTTTGTACAGAGCAGTCTACAGACTTCTATGAATTGCTCCCAATCGTGGGCATTGAGGGAAGAAAACCTCAGCACCATCCTAGTTGTGTAGCTGACAATGACAGATGTTGATCTTCAACATCTCTGTATATTATTCAAACGTAAATCTGGCAAATGTTTGGTTGGCACATAACCACCATGTTGGTACCATAATTTCTTCCTTAATGGAAAATGCCTAGGTAGTGTTTATCCTAAAACCCAATTATGATGTAATCACAGGGTCATTAATGCCTGCTGGTCTCGGCCTTTGACGTTGTAATTGTAATAATACAGTGATAGCACTTTATCTACTAAACATTGCAGCATTGTAGCCACTGTTGCCTAGAAACCATTCTGGAGTCTGCATCCGTACCATCCATTATCTATGTGTAATGAACCTTATGTTTTTTTATTGTACTGCCTGACAAAATGTATGGTGTCAAACAGGGCCTTCCTGTTGTGAAGATGGACAATTTCAGAGCTGATTTTTATTAGTAACCTTCATTTAATGAAATGTTCTATATGTTTGGAGTAACTCTAAGAACTCGTACAATGTACTGGTGCAGCTGCTGCTCATGTTAAATTTCCGAGACCGACACCAAGGTTTAGTTTTGAGTGGGAGAGGCTGTCGGGTATTGGGGAACATAAGAACAATTGGCTGCAGCATCCAATCTGATTGTGAGCCAAGTCATTTTGGCCTTATACACTGTATGGTCAGTTTGTGGACACCTCTTTAAAGTGAGTTTGCCATGTCATACACACATTTCAGACTTGTGTGGTTCTAACCTTTTGTGTAACACTTGGGATCAAGTCCTTTCTTTGCTCCAGCTTAACTGTGCCCTGTGCATAAAGGTATGGTTTGGTGTGAACGAACCCTGAAGGCTCTCGGGGATGAATTGGAACACCAATTATTAGCCAGGGTTTCTTTCTGCTGAATGCACACAAATTCCCACAAGCTCAAAAATCTTGTGTAGAGCCTACTGAGAAGAGTGAAAGGGGATGCCAATGCCATATTAATGCCTATAATTTTGAAATGGAATGTCCAACAAGCTTATTTTGGTGTGATCGATGTTTACATATTTTTATTTTTTTGCTGTAAAAAAAAAAAGAAGCTAAACTGTGCTCACTAGTGTCCTCCCAAAAATATTTAACCATATACATAGTTTGTTTGGCCATGGGCTGAATAGAACACTTGGTGGGATTTTGGAACATTCAAATTCCTCAGTTGCCCCTAGAAAATACAGGTCTTACAAGGCACCAAAAAACTGGTATTCCAGTACATTTGCACATTTCATCAGTTTGGTCTTAAAGTTGATGCACTAAATTTTCTGCAGCATATCCTTTTTTTAAATGTATCAGGCCTATTACCATCCATTAAGTAAGTGTTTTTTTTTTTTTTTTTGGTGTGTGTGCTTTTGTTTTATAGTTTAAGGATGTTCTGTAGGGGACTGTTAAGCTCCATCCCATTTTAGCATATGGCCTACGGTAGATTAGGTTACAGAAAGTGGTTGTCTGGAAGACAGCTGAGCTGGTCACATTGGTCCTCAATCGCAGATTAACCTGTTATGCTTCTACAGTATCTGGCAAAGAATACTGAGGCACTCGAGTTGGGCAGTGTACTTTTAGATTTTAAACTCTCTACATTTTCTGTCTGCTTACTTCCCAACAGACCTTCCTTCAATGATCTAGATCCCCTTAAATTCCTATCCTTCCCCTTTTTAATATATTCGACTCTCTTGATTCAATATGCCATAGGAGATTTCAGTGGAAATAAGGCTAAAGAAATGGTCTAAAACTACTTTTGTGACAGAAATGGTTAATTCTGAAAATAGGAGAGGGAGAATGGTGCCCTGGAGGGTTGAAAGAAATGCTTTAAGACCTGAAGTAGGCCATAAATTCTGAGCCCCCTTTGAGCTGCTAAAGTAATTTATTTTCTTTCTTCAGTTTTGAGTGCTTCTGATGGTTTAGGGAATGATTCAACAAAATGTGCAATTTGAAAGAGCAGAGGAACGTTTCTTTTAAGTCTTGTAAAATATTTAATAGAAAGGAAATCTTAAACCGGGTGTAAACCCTAACAATTTATCTTCTAGATATCTATCTATTTGCTCCCTTTTTGGTCTGCTGAAACGCATTTAGTGCTTTACTTATCTGTTAAGTGGGGGGGAAAAAAATGAATGTGTTTTATCAAAGTTTAGAACAGTCCTGTATCTTCTACACTTCCTGTGTTCTTCAAGAACCTAATTAGCCCTCCAAATTTATATCTTGGCACTGCAGATCAATTAGCCTTTTGGCACTGCAGATCAATTAGCCTTTTATGTTGTAGGCAGTAGGATAGGGGGTGGGTCTGAGCAGAAAATACCTGGGAGGGGTAACAACTTGGTTCACAAAAATGCTGTGTGTTGTCAGCAACAGGACTTTGCATATGAGTGCATTTCTGGCACATACCCTGGCATTTTCTGTACTTGAAGTGCCTTTTAAAGGAGTGAAACATGGAGAAATGTGCATGTATTGCATTTGTTCAGCCTTCTTGCTATACTGCACCAGTCCAACCCTATTTGGCTTTGTATGTAATTTGGTGGCTCTGAAACACAACTTGCCTGTGATGCTAGAGCACCTTCCTTCTCTCACAAAGACTGGCAAATTTAAATGTGATTGGTGATGCAGAAAGCAGACAAGATGACAATTTGCCAGGCACAAGCATCTGAAAGTACTGTCCTTTTTTACTAATTCTGTGTAGGGAAGTCTGAGCAATTTGGTAAAGTAAATTCAGTTTTTTGACTTGGATAGGCCCATTGACACATCTAGGGTATGGCAAGTAGGGCACAGGCCTTGGGTTCCACTCAAGGGGGGTACCCCACATCTATTGGATAGTGAAGGTGTTTGTCTCTAAACTGTGCCCTATTCTGACCATGTCAGCGTTGACCCCACAGTGACAGATAGTGCAGCTGGAGCAGAGGAAGTTGCACTACTTCCTTTGTCTTACTCTGACAGATGACATTTTAAGTACTTGCCGATCCTTTTTTTTTTTGGGTCACGTGACAGGTTTTTCTAAAACAATACAGACCTCTTAGGACAGTGGTGGAGTGCCGGGGCCCAGTCGCAGTTGTGAGCCTGGTAGTTCTGCCACTGACTACCAAGCTCTAGAGGAACTACGAATCTCAGCAATACATTATACAGGAATGCAGAATGGCACCAGCTGTAGAAGACTACAAATCACTGCAATACATTATACAGCAATGCAGAGTAATGCAATCGGCTATAGAGTACTACAGATCCAGTAATACAATATACAGCAATGCAGAATAAAGCACTGAACAGAAACTGAAGGCAATATTTCTAAAGTAGCTGCGGAGTTCCAACTGCACCATACCTGTAGATCACTCTTGCTGCTGGCCTGATGTCTCAGGAAGGCCTGCTCTAGAACTGGCACCTCTACTAGGACTTGGCAGCCAGTCAATTGCAGCCTCTACCTCCTGAATAGGAATTTGGTTTTAATAGGCGACAACTAATATGACCTTGTGAAACAGATCTGTATTCCGTACGTATGGCAGCTGCTATTGCACCCACTGCTTTGAAAATGCTTGATTGTCATTTTGATGAAGTAGCTTCAGTACTTTGCTAATCTGATGCACATAAATCAGGCCTTCTGACTTTATGGATCTGCTAGCTTGTTTGGGTCTGTAATTGACAATTGAAACACTTGCGTGCATTGTGGTGCACTGCAACAGGAAAAAATGTAAATTTTAAAAAAAAATTCCTTTTAATCTATTCCTGTGTGTTGGTAGCGTATTAAAATTGAGTCGGCTGCCTTAACGTAATGCATTAGCACAATATTAATCTAGCCTTACAGTGTCCGCTATTTGTACCAAGACAGGTTCCCTTCAAACATAAGGCTGTTGGATGACTGCAGGGTGGGGATACAGCAATCGGTTTTGGCAGTTCAGCTGTGTGCATATGACATGTATTAATGTATCCGTCAGCTTGTATGGGATAACCACCATTAAGTTTTCTTCTGTTGCATTTGTCTTGCTTAACCTACTGAGCCCCCATATTCTTAGAGAATTCAGGACCTATTTGCAACCATGACTGCCACAGATATTAAATCTTGCTTGCTAGCCAGGAAACCTTTTTTGGTTTAGCTTATTACCTAGGAAGGCTTTCGGCTTGAACAGCCACAGGTTATATAAACTTCAAAATCCAGGACCTTCCATGGTAACCAGCGAAGTAGAAGATCCGTCTCAATCACATAATTCCACTACAGCAGCTAGCGATATACTGTTGAGGGGGGAAGTCTTTTAGTTTTAGTCTTTTAACTACCGACAATGCAGTGCTTCTCTGTGTGCTTCATATACATTTTTAGCTATGTGTTGGATGGAGGACCTGTACTTTTTCCTCATGTCCCTGATGGCAGTTACAATTGTGAGCAAAATATAAAGCCTTGAGGTTTTACACCTTGGCCTCTAAAGTATGCCACTGTAGGTGATGGACGATACAAACAATGTTATGAAGATTGTAAATGCATTCCCAACATATGTTTTGTATCAAAACTTGCACTCAGAAAATGACCTTGTATTGGCTTCTTTTTCCCTTCGACAGGTTGAGGAAATTGTCGAAACCGGAACCTTTGCACCAGAAGATATCCACATTCCCAGTATTTATGTTGATAGGATTATTAAAGGCGAGGGCTATCAAAAGAGAATAGAGGTACATCATTGGCTTGTCTGTCTGCTGATGTAACATGAATGTTTTGGTTTTATTCAGGCATGTGACCTAGTAGATTATGCAATTATGATTGAGTATTTTTGTAAATCTCAAGAGTTGGATGTTCATGGCCTGAATAATCTTTACTACAGCATCCATTTAACAGTGGACTTTTTTTCTGGTAAATGTCAGTCTAGGCCTATGTAACCGAAACCTGTTAAGTAGACACTTCTGTCTTTGCTCACGTGTAAATGGGTGTTGCAGTACAGGCAGATCACCTGGCTAATTGACTACAGATACACTATATGGTCATGTTTGTGGACATCTGACCACCTACGT